AAGAGAAGTAGGGTTTCAATATGCGAATGGAACGGCAGATTATATACTTTTATAATTGGGCCTTGAGCATTTGATTTTTAACATTTATTGGCCCATGAAAATGTAGTACAAAAAGAATATTGAGCCCAATTTATTGAGCCACTTCTACGGACTCCAAACCGAACAAAGTTAGGATAAGCCGAAACTTGAGTAAATTGGCTGAAAGCCTAATACAAAAGTCTTTCGATCAAAATTTATTTTTATACAGTTAAGATAAAAGACAAAAATTTCCTTCTATTTTGATCAAAAGACAAAAAGGAAAGACTTTTGATTGAAAGAAAAGAAAAAAAAAGTTCAGTCTACAAGAAGCTGGCAGGGAAGTTCATTTTCAAATTCATTTAAAACATACTGTAGAATCTAAAACATATCACTAAACGAATAATATATAATTTTTACTAGTATTTATATATATAGAAAAGAAAACAAATGACTTTCATAATTGTTTTAAAATTGATGATTGAATGATACCTGTTTTTTGTTTAGATTTCCAAAAATATTAAACTCCATGAACTAATAACCAAATGTTGTTTGGTCACACTTTTCAGGGTATGAACCTTAGATAAACTACTTACTTTAATAGGTTGGGACTGAAAGGGACTCAACGACCTAATACTCATTTATTGGTCCTTGTTTTCCTTTCCACCAAATTCGTTACTATAGTGGGTTAGCAAATGATGAGAATATCCCTAGGATTCGACACTCTTAAGTTGAGCAAGGATAGATTTGGCTAGACAGCCGTGGTACGGAATAGAAGTTGAATGGTCGATGCATATCACAAGAAGCTTGCGGAATAGCATCACGATACCGAACTTAGATCCTTTGGATATACGCACCAAAGAGGCTAAGGTTTTTGCTGGATATACACACGAACAAGAGAAAATCTTGGATATACACACCAACTAAAAGATCTCTTTAGAGAAAAGGTTTTTGATAAAAAAGGAAGGTGGAGTTTCAAATAGATTACAAGGGAGTTTATAAAGAAGAGAAAGAATAAGCCTTGGAACAGTTTATAAAGAAGAGTAAGAATACAAAGCAATAAATTCAAAACTTGAAATTTAAAAGATAGATTGACCCTCTTCCTCTTCTTGGTCGTGGCTCCTTAAGTGCATAAAAGGCCTTGGGCTTTTGATTCAACAAATGGGCAATGGTGAAGTGAAACAGTTGCCTCATTAAAAACCTTGTCAAGAAAACCCAGTGGGACAAAACTTGACAAGGGAAAAAAAGTACAACCATGACACTTTTCCCATTGTTGAATCACTTAGCTTGGATCAAAACCAAAGTGGTTTGACAAGCTTTTCCTTCATACTTGATGTCTTGATCGTGTTGGCTCCGAATCGGATTAATTAATCCTCCAACAGCTTCGTTAAACATTTTAGCTCTTGAGCGAGTCATTGGACCAGTTGGTGTGACAAGAGCATCCTCTGCTACAAGCTTATCCTCCTCTCCTAGTTGCTTATCCTCCTCTCCGAGCTGCTTCTCCTCAGCTATGAGCTTAGCTTCTTCAAGTTTAAGCTCCGGTTCATGCTCCAATTCCTTAGTGCTATCCATGATCATATCAGCAAATGTTTCATTCTGGAGCTACGAATAGCTTCATTAAACAGGAGTGCGCGGCGGGTGGTAACATCCGAGGAGATCCTGGTGGTTATTTCGGAGCCGTTAAGAGTCATAGGAGGTGCGTTGCTAGCGCTTCAGGAACGGGTTAGTGGTATGGATGTGCAGATTGCGAGGGAATCGATGCCGGCAGATCTGTACATTAGTCCAGTGGAGCTGTATGATGTGATTCTTGGCTTTCTTGAAGGAGATGGGTACAAATGTGCATCTAAGTACGGCTTACCATCCTCAAACAGATGGGCATCCAGAGCGGACCATCCAGACGCTTGAGGATCTTTTGACGATGTGTGTGTTGGATTGGGGTGGTCAGTGGGACGATCACTTGAGCTTGGTGGAGTTTGCCTACAATAATAGCTACCAGGCGATTATTGGGATGGTTCCTTCTGAGGCGTTGTATGGAAGGCCATGTTGGACACCTCTATAATGGACCAAAGTGGGGTAGAGGAGCATATATGGTGCAGACTTTGTTCAGGAGACTTTGGAGAAGATTCGGGTTGTTAAGTTGCACATGAAGGAGGCGCAAGATCGACAGAAGAGTTATGTTGATAAACGGCGCTAGGAGTTAGCGTTTGAGGTTGGAGATATGGTGTATCTCAAAATGGCGATATTACGTGGTCCTAACATGTCCCTTACTTAGACTAAGCTGAGTCCTAGGTATATGAGTCCTTTCAGGATTGTGGAGCGGGTTGGACCGGTGGCGTATCGGTTAGAGTTACCTAAGGTTATGCAGGCGTTCCATAAGGTGTTTCATGTGTCGATGCTGAAGAAATGTCTGCATAAGGATGATGAGGTGTTGGCTATGATTCTGGCAGATTTTCAGCCCATCATGACTTTAGAGGCGAAACCGGTGAGGATTCTCGAGAATCGGGTAAAGGAACTTCGGCCTTAGAAGATTCCTTTGATGAGAGTCCAGTAAGATGCATCCAAAATCGGGTAAAGGAACGCATATCCGTAAGATGGCGTTCAAGACGAGATATGGGCATTATGATTTGTAGTGATGCCTTTCGGATTGAAGCGTTCATGATGCTGATGAACAGTGTGTTCCAGGCGTTTCTGGATGAGTTCATTATCATCTTCATCGACGATATCCTGGTGTATTCTAAGAGTCCTGAGGAATACGAGGTGCACTTGAGGGCGGTTTTGGAGAAGCTGTATGCTAAGCTAAGCAAGTGTTATATATGGCAGAGAGAGATGGGTTTTACGGGTCATATTGTGTCTGTAGAGGGAATTTTGTGGTGCTAGAGAAGATTGAGGCTATTAGAGATTGGCCTAGACCGCAGAATGCCACGGAGATCTAGAGTTTTCTAGGATTGGCGGGATACTACAGACAGTTCATGAAGGGTTTTGCAAGCACAGCTCAACCGATAACCAAGTTGACGGGGAAGGATATTCCTTTTGTGTGGAATCCTGAGTGTGAGCAGGGTTTTGCTAAGCTTAAGAAGATGTTGACGAGTACGTCGGTCTTGTCTCTAACATAACAGGGGGAGCCGTATGTGGTGTACAGAGATGCTTCGGGAGTTGTTTTCGGTTGTGTGTTGATGCAGTAGGGTAAGTTGATTGCATATGTTTTGCGGAAGTTGCGGAAGCATGAGGGGCAACTACCCTACTCAAGACTTGGAGATGGCGGCGGTAGTATTCGCTCTGAAGATTTGGAGATCCTATCTGTATGGGGCGAAGGTTCAGGTGTTTAGAGATCATAAGAGCCTGAAGTACATATTCACGCAATCTGAGTTGAATTTAAGACAAAGGCGGTGGATGGAGTTGGTTGCATATGCCTTGAGTAGGAAGCGAGCGGCTTCAGCTAGAGGGCAGGATATGAAGACCTTGGTAGGAGAGATTAGCACTCTGCGTTTCTGTGCTACTTCTCAGAAGTCACTTGGGTTAGAGGCAGCTAGCCGAGCAGATCTTCTGACCATAGTTAGGGCGGCTCAGGAGAATGATGCAGGGCTGGTTAGTACTTCTAAGGATACAGATTCAAAGTATCATGTTGCAGCCAACAGGACTATTCTTGTGCATGGGGGGTTTTGTGTTCCCAAGAATGAGGGTTTGAGGCGTGAGATGATAAGAGAGGCTCATGGGAGAATGTTCTCTATTCATACAGGATCGACCAAGATGTACAAAGACCTGGAGAGGTACTACAATTGGGTTGGGATGAAGAAAGACGTGGCTAAGTGGGTGTATGAGTGTGATGTGTGTCAGCTAGTGAAGGCTGAGCATTAGGTGCCAAGTAGTCTACTGCAGAGTCTTCCTATTCCAGAGTGGAAGTGGGACATAGTTACGATGGATTTCATAGTTGGTTTGCCGGTGTCTCAGTTCAAGGATGCTATTTGGGTCATTGTAGATCGTTTGACCAAGTCTGCACACTTTCTGGCTATCAAGAAGACTGATGGAGTGGCAGTGTTAACCAAGAAGTGTTAACCAAGAAGTGTTAACCAAGAAGTATGTGCAGTGTTAACCAAGAAGTGTTAACCAAGAAGTGTTAACCAAGAAGTGTTAACCAAGAAGTGTTAACCAAGAAGTATGTGCAGGAGATTATCAGACTTCATGGAGTATCGGTCAGTATTGTGTTAGACTGAGATTCGAAGTTATTAAAATGTTTTAGGAAGGTATTTATATGGTATTTATAAAGCTTTTCTAAGGTTTTTAAATTTAGACACATATAAAGATAATTTGTGGCTATATATATAAAGCTTACATATATATTTTTGATAAATTTCAAATTGTAGTGACTTTTTGATAAATTTATAAGAGTGGTATTTAAAAAAAAATGGTATTGGAAAAAGGGTATTTTTGAAATTCCACCAATTTTGTTTCAATTTTGTACATGTAGATTCCACGTCAGCATGACTTAATCACACGTGGATTCCACATTAGCATGACTACTGCACACGTGGATGCCACATCAAAATTAGCTAAACATTTATCACGTTTTTGTATATTTTGGCAACAAAACTAAACTTTAGGTTTGAAATTTAAATTATTTAAAAGTGCATGTATGATTTAACACATGCGATAGTTCAATGTATGAATTCATGACATTAATTTTGCAGGTATGGAAAAGCCTATTTTCCGTGTGTATCATGTTCTGACCCATTGCAAAAAAAATATTCTGATCTGTTTCTAATATTTTATTCTATAATTTTTTTTTTTGAATATTTTAAAGGTTTCAATATTAAAATATGTTAAACTTTTCAAACATTTAAAAAGTATAATATATTGAAACTTTTTTAATTTTCTATGGTCAAACAAA